TGCCCTTTTGCTAGCATAAAAGCCCAAGCCTCATGCAATGCTGGGAGGCAGACCCTCATACCACCCAAGTCAATGTTGTTCTCACAGGGACACCTGCTAAGGTTGAGCTTGCCACCTTGCACTGCAAAGATGTCTGTCGGAGCCGGTTTCCTGATCGTCATCACATGGTCTTTGGGGTTGGTAAGATAAACACTCACCAAAAATATCCATCACTGTTTCTTTTACCCTTTGCTGGCTCTTCCTCCCTATCTTTTTTCTGTGATAATAAACTAGTTGGTTTTTTATCTATTGTGTCTCACCTCTCTGAACCTGGAATCCCTGAACTCCAGAACAGTTATACAAGCCAGAACTGGCTCAGGCTATAAGGAAATAAAAAGGAGATTCATAAAAGAGCCAGAGGAGTTACTTTAATTCCCTCATTTTATCGAAGAAGCAGAAAGACAGGGAGATGCTTTAGGATGAAGAATTTTAGTGTCTACCTGCTACTCTCCATACACCTGCTCCAAAGCAGAGAACTAAGTACTCGCCTTTGCACAGACACATCTGAGGCCTGAACAGCCCCCTGCATAGCCATCAAGTTCTAACACACAGTGTAGCCCTATTTTATGCACTACAAATCCAATTTACCCAGAGTGATGGGGCTCCCTCCCACTCCCCTTAGGAAACAGAAGAAATGTCTCCCTGCTCAGAACTTTTCCGCGATGTTTGGCAAGCATTTTGTGCATTTATTTTCATTCCCTTGAATTTGGCTGTGGCCTTGTGCCCCACTTTAAGTAGCACCTTGCCTTCCTCATAGCCTAACACTTGTTATCATTTAACTGAGCTCTGCAGAATTTCACCTCTTTTTGATCTTCATAAATCAGTCTCCACAGTTTTGCTGTTTATAGCCCCACACTGGGAACCACAGTTACTTCTGGAGAGTAACAATTTTTCTGCACTTTACTTGTTGTCCCCACATTAATCTTTTCAACAGGAAGAACATCATAAATATTTGAGTGACTTAGTCTGCTGCTTCTGCCAAGCATACACGTCCTTTGCAGCTCCTAATGCTGGGGCACCAAGCCCTCCCTCTGTTGAGATCAGAGCAGGCTGCCTGAAGGGCTGGAAAACAGAGACGCAGCCATCTGTGCTAATCAGAGTCACTTACAAGGTTACTCCCACCTGAGGAGGAAGGAAATAGCAGGCATTGTAGGAGAATACACTTTAAGCCATCCATTGGAAGAGTGCATTACCTCTGCTTCTCTGGGCAGAGACCAAGTTGGATAATAATCATCTGCCAGCATAAAGTCAGCCTAAAAGTCAATTTAGTTAATGACCTAGTCACAAACTACACAGAAGGAAAAGATCCACCGATGTGTAGATTCTGGTTCTAATTTTTCCACTGGACAACTTCAGGTAAGTCACTTTAAAAACCCAAATCAGAAACTCCATACTAGAGGACAGCGGTAATGAATCATTAGGACTAGTGACAAGCACGGCACTAGCAGAGCTTTGAACTGGTGCTAAAGACAAACTTATTTGTCACTTAGCACAGACATGTTCGCTCCACTTACTTGCATACAACAACCAACAACAACAGCACCTTAGTCCTTGACTGTAGTTTTTAGATACTACTGGAAGTCAGATCGTTAACTGGACTAAGCATCCCTCCTTCAGGTTAAAGAGACAAGTCACACCTGCTTCTAAAAGCAGCAGCACCCAAGGGACCACTGTAGCTGTCACAATATCCGGTCAGCTTTGACTTTCCTATTCGGAAATGATGACAAGTGGCTGTGCTACAAGCCCAGCCTGGTACTGCAACTCATGCTCCAGGTCTGCAAGAGGAGATCAAACTCTTCATGAGTGTGCGTGCCTTTCTTACACACAGACTTACTACTACTTACTACACTTACTACTGCTAAACCCAGAACAGAAGGGTACATTGGATGGGACTCCTGACCTGCCAGATGTAAGAGGAGGCTCAGATGGATTTCCAAATTTTACTTTAAAACAAACAGGATTAAGATCATGCAATGCCAATTGACATTATTATAGAGAAGCAGAATTTGAAAACAGAAGATGACAATATATGGCACAGGCCTGACCAGGACTCAACTTGTCTTGTCGTGGCAGAGTTACATGATCTGCCAGGATGCCCCCTGTCTACTGGCAGGAAGATGTGGCCTGGCCTCCTGAGAAAGCTGAAGCTTTAACACATCCAGCCTTCACATCAGCTTGTAAAATCAGCAGGTGGGTCCAGAAGTAGTGGCAGTGAAGACAAAGGGGCTGACTCAATGAATATACTTAGCAGAGATGAGCAACTGTAACTGAACAAGCAGGGCTATACTAGCAGCATCAGACTGGCAACCAAGTTTTGGGGGTTCAGTCCCTGGCTTTTTGGTTATCAAATTACCTTTCCTGTAGTTCAGTTTCCTCACCTCTAAACTGGGGATACTAACACTGATCTCATGGGTAAAGCATTGAAATGTGCCAAAACCCAGACATATTTTTGTAAAGCCAAGAAAGAAAGCAAATGGGAAAGTGTCATGAATGGGACTTAGTAAGAAAAACAATGTGACAAAAGGAAGTCCAAGCAAGTCCTTTGCTTTGAGAATGTCAAAACTAAATCAGACATCTCACTAGGAAACACACCGTCAATACCAGGAAAGTGGGTTTGATGATCTGGTCATACATTTCACCTCAATATTTATAATGCACTGATATAATGACAGCTTTTACCTTGAAAGAGTGAAAGAGGTTACATGAAAGCCAAAGCAGAAAAGAGACTAATACAATGATATCAGTAAATTCTTCTTCCAAGAATGTAAATTCACAACCGAGAGACAACATTGAAAACAGAAGGGAATGAGAGAAATCAGAAACCTGGTGTTCCTCACCAGGAAACTGATAAAATGACTTTATATGTTGTCCAGAGCAAGCAGGCTCTGACGTAGCCCTACAATAAATGTTAGCTTCAGACAGCCCATCTCCTTGAGAGCTACTGCAGAAGAGCAGCTTGGGATTTACGAGAAATGGGGCCCATCCAAGACTGCAGTTTCCAAAGTATGAGACTGCTATCATGTATTCAAAGTGCATATTGAGGTCTTCCTTGGGATATGCAGCCCTATTTGTAAGTTCTTCCTAGCATCCAAAGTAACTTCAGTTTTCCTTGCTTCAGTACTTTCCCTGTCTTTATTTTGCCATCAAAAGGGGGCCCAAATAATTCTTTCTTACCACATTTACAGAACTGTTCTTGTCCCTTCTCATCTATCACTTATTCCAGTCTGACATACTGAACACTTTAATCAACACTATATATCAAACTTTCCAAGCCCCTCATCACTTTTTTTGTTCCCCCTGTGAATTCCTTCCAGCTTGCCAGTATCTCTTGCAACCCCAGAAAGGAGAAGACCACTGTTCATCGGCATTCCTACAGCAGCCTCACTCAACAAACAGCTCTGCAATAACTTGCTCACATACAACATCAGTAACATTCATCTGTTAAGAATACAATCAGACTGAAATATAATAAAATTTCTCTCATAATATCATGGCAGTCACACGTACCAGCCAATGCTGTTGTCAGAAAGAGTTAGGAGCCCTAAAAGTATCGAACAGGAGCTCAAGCCGGCACTGCCTACAGGCACTGAAAAGACTGGAGCACATCCAACACCTCACTGGTAGCAAAGTACCCTAGGGCACCTTGTTTGCAGCAGTGTTGCACTGCCGCCTGTATGTGACTTTCTTCCAACTGCTCTACTTGCCTACAACTGCAGAAGGATCTGCCTAGCTCTGTGGTCCCACCACTTCTCTGCAACACCACATGACTTGGTGGTCTTAAATGTCTTTTCCAACCTAGTTGATTCTATATTCTGTGTCTCTCCTGGAACTGGCCAGGATCCTGCAGATGTCGTTTCCTTCCCTCCTTACTTTGTTCAACATTTTCATCACTGACATGGACAGTCGGATTGAGTGCGCCCTCAGCAAGTTTGCCGATGACACCAAGCTGTGTGGTTTGGTTGATACGCTGGAGGGAAGGAATGCCATCCAGAGGGACCTTGACACGCTTGTGAGGTGGGCTGATGCCAACCTCATGAAGTTTAACCATGCCAAGTGCAAGGTCCTACACCTGGGTCGGAGCAATCCCAGGCACAGCTACAGGTTGGGCAGAGAAGAGATTCAGAGCAGCCCTGCAGAGAAGGGCTTTGGGGTGCTGGTCAAAGAGAAAATGAACATGGGTTGGCTTCAGTGTGCACTTGAAGCCCAGAAAGACAACCGTATACTGGGGTGCATCAAAAGGAGCATGACCAGGAGGTCCAAGGAGGTGATCCTGCCCCTTTACTCTGCTCTCATGAGACCTCACTTGGAGTATTGTGTGCAGTTCTGGTGTCCTCAACATAAAAAGGACATGGAACTGTTGGAACAAGACCAGAGGAGGGCCATGAGCATCATCAGGGGACTGGAGCACCTCCCATATGAAGATAGGCTGAGAAAGTTGGGGCTGTTCAGCCTGGAGAAGAGAAGGCTGCGTGGAGACCTCATAGCAGCCTTCCAGTATCTGAAGGGGGCCTATAGGGATGCTGGGGAGGGACTCTTCATTAGGGACTGTAGTGACAGGACAAGGGGTAATGGGTTAAAACTTAAACAGGGGAAGTTTAGATTGGATATAAGGAGGAAATGCTTTCCTGTTAGGTTGGTGAGCACTGGAATGGTTTGCCCAGTAAGGTTGTGAATGCTCCATCCCTGGCAGTGTTCAAGGCCAGGTTGGACAGAGCCTTGGGTGATATGGTTTAGTGTGAGGTGTCCCTGACCGTGGCAGGGGATTTGGAACTTGATGATCTTAAGTTCCTTTCCAACAGTAACCATTCTATGATTCTGTGATTCTACTTTTCCTTGAGCAGTGATTATCTGTGACCATGGAAAACATATGGCAAGCATTGAATTTTGATGCCATTTCTCTGGATAGAAGGAGGAAGGAAAATGGTTGGAAATCAACTGACTGGTAAGAGCTTTGTACTCAGGTATCCAGCAACCCTTCTGCTGGATGGTGGTCTAGTCAGAAGTAGCTAAAGAATACATAATGCCCCTCAACCTTTATTTCTGATGTAAAAGAAGTAACAAGCATCGGATACAATTGCAGTTGGAAAACAACCATTCTTTAGGTTACAATTATGTGATTTCCCTGTAAGACAGAAAAGACTCTTATTCAGATCACAGAATGGTTGAGGTTGTAAGCACCACCAGGGTTCATCTAGCCCATGTCACTGATGAAGAAATTAAGCAAATACTGGACCCAGTACTGACCCTTGCGGGACACCACTATTTAAAGTCTCCAACAACCCTCTGAGACCTGCCATTCAGGCAGTTCTTGTCCAGCCTGCATTTCCTGAGCTCACCTACAAGGGTGTCATAGGAGACAGTGTTGAAAGCCTTGCTGCAGTCCAGGTAGACAAAATCGACTGCTCTCCCCTCATTTATCCAGCCAACTGTCCCATCATAGAGGCGATCAAGTTGGTTAAGTATGATTTCTCTTTGATGAATCCATGCTGACTACTCTTGATCACCTTCTTGTCTTCCACATGCTGAGAGATGGCCCCCTGGATGAGCTATTCCGTCAGCTTTCCAGGGATGGAGGTGAGGCTGACTGGCCTGTACTTCCCAGGGTTCTCTCCCTGTTTGAAGACTGGGATGACATTTGCTTTCTTCCAGTCCTCAGGCACCTCCCCTTATTGCCATGACATATCAAAGATGATTGAGAGTGGCCTAGCAATGATGTCTGCCAGCTCCCTCCGCACTAGTGGGTGCATTCTGTCAGGGCCCAGGGACTTGAAGATGTAAAGTTTCTCTAAATGATCTTTAATCCAATCCTCCTCCACTAAGGGAAAGACTTCCTTTCTCCAGACCTTCTCCCTGGTCTCCTGGGTCAGGGATTCCTGAGTGCTGGCCTTGGCACTGAAAACTGAAGCAAAAAGGGCACTTACACCTTTTCTCAGCAATATCTATCATTTGAAGAATACCATTTTTCAGTATATCAAAAGCACTAGAACTAGTCTTCTCTTCCAGCAGTTCACAGCAGCACAGGGAAAACTGGTTTTTGCTGTTCCCAAGATGAAGGGCTGGGCCCCTACTAATACAGAAAGGGGAGAGGCAGAGAAAGGAGGAAGGGAGGACCCAACCACACAGCATACAGCTCTGGAGAGCAAGCTTACTGCTTCCATTACCTTCAAGCGTATCAGATATATAAGGTGAGCAGGGGCTGCTGCTGAGAGATGCCACTTCTGCATTTGGGTGCAGATCAGAGTACAAGTGGAATAAACAGGGCTTGCTTGTACCACACAGCAGGCGGTAGCATCACCTTTCTCCCTCTTGGAGAACAGAAACAATATGCCCCTCCTCAGAGATCATAAGTGCTTTTGTGGCTCCTACTGCCACTGGAGACAGAATCAACCCTAGCAACTTGGTTTGCTTCTGCTTTAAAAGGATAGTAATAGGAATATGTCACATTGCAGGACAGAGGATTTGTGACAGGAATTAAGTCTGAAAATGAGATGTCTGGAGAGACAATATGACAGAGGTCTGTAAAATCCTGAGCTGTGTGGAAATTGTGTGTGGTAATTGTGTGTGGAAGAGATTCAGTTCTGCACTGCACCTTCCAGTACAAATGTCTGCAGACATCAAATGAAACTCATAGAAATAAGGCTGGGAACTATCCAGAGGACATGGCTCTTTGGTCTGCATGTAACTCCCAAACACATGGAGTTACACGTTGCTCTGAATGGTACAAGATCATGTGGGTTTGAGATGAGATTAGACAAATTCAAAGAAGAGAGATGAGGCTTAGTAGAATATACATGACCAATCGCCAGGTCTAAAACACTACCTTGGGGAAAACGTCACCTATTCTAGAGTTGTTCTCCTGTACTTCCCCTGGCATTCACTTTCAGTCATTGTCAAAACAGCTACAGGTTAGACAAGCATTTTACCTTGTACACCTGTTCCTATATTCTGTCAGATTTGGGCTTAAGATATGTTCAGCTGATATGTAGAAGAGCAGCCTGTATACTAGATAGAGACAGAAAGAAAAGCTACAAAGCTCCATGCCACACTTGAAATAGTGTGAATTCACAGTACTGGCCCTTCCGCATTACACTACAGCACAAAAGAGAAGAATCAGACCCCTCTGTATGCAAGGAAGTTGGAACATTGTGACTACCTGTTCCTCCCTGCCTCCAGTCCTAGCACTGCAAATCTGGCATTGCCTTCAGTTGCTCATATAGTCTTTCAGAATGGCTCCCTTGGCTGACATGTAACAAGGTTAGGTCTTAAAAAATCTAATAAAAAAAATAAGCAGGTGTTTGTTTTGTAACTTTAGATTACATTAGTTTTATAGATTTTTCTGGCATCCACAAGAGACTTCCACATCCCTAATATAACAGCCAGCCTCTGATGTCAGCTCTGGACTTGGTTGGCTCATGTGTTCAGTATGACTGAAAAATCATTCATATTTCAGGCTTATTCTGTTAAGCATAATTCTGCACCATTCCACAGCTTATTAAATGAGATTTTTTTCCCAAATTACCTCTGCATTCGGCAATTTCCACCAACAATACTGATCTCTTCAAGGCACTGAGACTTACTGAAATACAGATGAATGGTGATTTCATTGCCTTGTGAATAAGAGCTAAAACCTTTTCCTAAATTGATCCTACATCTCTTTAAGAGCAGCTAGAGACTAAAAATTTGGGACCAGCAGAACTGAGGCAATGCCAGATCCTAGGTGAAAAAGTTAGTTTTCCTCTAATCATGATCTCTGTGTATATGAAACGGTTTATTTTCCACTTTAAATGTTTTTATATTATGGAAGATTTTTTGTAAAGGCATATAAACCTGTATTTTATTCAAACAACATGGCCAAGTGACAGAAATTGAAAGAGACTAAACTAATACTGTATGTTCTACCACACAGCACAGAAGTATTCCCAGTTCTCCCAGCAACTTGAGTCAGCAAAGTTGCACTTTGTCATGAGCTATGCCATGTCATTCCACGCCACTCTGGATGGCGCTCCACTCGCCTTTGTACTGACAGCACACAGCCCTTTTTCTCTTTGCTCGCACGGCCTGTGATTCTGCTGCCTGCACAGCGTGGTTTACTGCATATAACATACATAAAAAGGGGTGGGGAGGAACAAAACAAAACACATGCAAGTATGGTACTAATACGGAAATTACCAGAAAGACATCAGAACATTAGAATAGTTTGGGTTGCAAGGTACCTTAAAAATCATCTAGTTCCAACCCTTATGATTCCCCCTCTGCGCAATTGTTATTCTGGGCACTTTCCACATAAAAAGTGATTCCTTTTGGAAGTTGGAGAGGGAAGAGGAAGGAGAGCTTTCTCTTCCCCATAACATAATGTAATTCAACTGTCCAGATGCTAGAAAAGAAACATGGTGAAGAAGAAACCTTCATCTGACCCACTTAGTGTTAGTCATTATAACTACTATGATAGCAGCCAGAAGCTCACTTTCCTATCATGATTTTAGGAAGTGTGGTACAAGACAAGGAGGACTACCGCTTTGTTCTGCAAGCAAAGGTGCCCAATTAGATGGACCACTGCATCTTGTGAAATACAGACAAATCCCAGATTGCAGGTGTTCTTATGTGATTACTGTGCTGCAAGCTAAAGAAGTACTGAATAACAGCAGTGTAGGGAAATTCATTCAGCTGCTGCTTCAGCAAGACCTGCTAAGCATCCCTTTTTGCAGTGTTGACATCATAACTCTGAAAGCTAACTCCAGCCAGAGCCAGGTAGCAGTGGCAGTGCAAATTCACCAGACTTCAATGTATCTACAGGGGCTGCACACTAGAGCTTGTCATAGTTTTCTGCATTTTCATCAGGAATGTTCTATATACATGAGTAATGCTACTGTGAAGTTTCCTCCTTCAAGCCCTCTTCATCCCCTAGCCCCATTTACAAGACCTTCTGCTAAAATGTATGCTGGATTTATGATATCAAATTTGCTAACTAATCCTTTCCCTAGGGCCTCTTAAAGTATACATTATGATTAAAAGGAAATTTTAAAAGGCTCTACATGTGTAACAATAGATCATGAAGCACTTCAAAATCAGTCATACACCCTCACAGCCTCCCCCCATAAGATGATGTACAAGTCAGAAGGCATTTCCCTCTCTGAAATCGGAAGAAACCAAAGCAGAAAGAAACAAAGCCTGAGATAAGACAGAGCTCTGCTTTCTCTATGCACATTACACTGCAGCATGGGTCACACACTCAAGCTGGAAGCAGAGGTGAAGATGGCTGGCATTCTGCCCTGGCACAGCATGGCCTTTCCCAGGGCTCACAGAGGCTGCAAGAAGGCAATAGAAGCAGGAAAAGAAACCTGCAGCTGAGCCTTCCATGTGCAGGCTCTCCACAGATGCCATTAGCTCTTCTTTACCTACAAGCAGAAAAGATGTAGCTTAATTAAAAGGACAGGAACCAAGGGTTTGCAAGCAAGGTAAAAAGTCTAATTGAGCAATTGCCTCTAGCCACTTAGAAAGTGGTTTTCTGATTTCCCATCATTTCTTCAGGAAAGTAATACAGACAGAATGAAGCTTGCTCCGCCCGATGCAGATGAGCTCTTCTGATATTGCTACAACTTCAGTTTGTGTCAGTGTGGAACTGCATCAACAAGATGACAGTTCTGCAGCTGCTTTCTGTCCCTGCTCTTAGACACACAGCTTGAAAGCAGGGCCCAGACCACCTTAACCCTCATCAAAGCCTCTATCTGAACAAGCAGCCACATAATACCAACTTAACACAGAGCCCAGGTTCTTCTCAGCAAATGGCAGGGTGCAGTATTCCTTGGGTCTGGACAAAATCAGTCTCAAGCACAATTCAAAGCAGAACCAATTTTATTTAATTATTGTACAACCATCACTGGAAAACAGAAAGCTAATTTCTAACACCCTTCATCATGAATATTAGATGCATTTAGTTTGCTGGCATATTAAAGGACAACTTACTCAGGACTAGAACATCCTCACAAAGAACTGTGTGACATATGCACATCCACAAAGATTTATTAGCATTATCCTAGCTGATGCTGTACATCAACCTTGATGGTGAAAGCTCCTTTAGGAGTGGATGGGTGGGGAAGAGGAGATAGACACAATTAACAACGGAAAGGAAAACTCTTCACAGTGGCTATTCAGCTCCAGTAGTGATAGGGTCCCCAAATGAGCATCTTTGCCAGGCACCCATACAGTGCAGCAGGTCACTCCTCCCATCCCTTTTCCATAGCAGCTGAATAGTTTCCATCAAGATCTACTCAAACCCCCTGTTGCTTGTCCCTGTGTATCACACAGATAGTGCTGATCAGAGCACATGCTGGCCAGCAGGTGCTGCCTGCCAATTCTATGCAAACATATTGTTTTGTCCTCTAACATAAAGGAAGAGCTACAGCCCAGCGTGTGATGCTCAAGTGGCAAATATCACCTCAGGGTGTGCAAGTGCAAGGCCAGGAGAGTAACACCAACAAGGGGAAAGAAAATGCTGCCCTAAAGGAAATCACCATTACCGTGTAGGGAATGGAAAAGACTAGTTGGCTAGTGAATGCCCAGCCGCAAAGGCCAGGTTAAAAATCCCCTAGGAGACCATTCTGTTGGGCTTTTGACTGCCTGTCAATGTGCTCCACGTGAAAACACACCTTAATAAGCAAGCCAGTATTACTCAGAACCCTTTGCCTAGGTGTGACAAACAGCATAAAGAACAGGAAATTGCACCCATTAAGATACGCATGCAAGCAGCACTTTCCTTGCTCTCGGTGCTATTAAAGTGATGTATAACATCCAACTCCTGCTGCCACAGAAAACCATGGCTACTTTTTCAGGAGCTCAGATAAGCCAAAATATAAAGTGATACTTACAGTCACTGCAAACCTGATCATACTGCAAGGCCTG